CCCTGCTGAAAAAGAAACTTCCCAAGAAACTTTGTGTACGTTCAGATAGAAAGCTGTGCATGTTCCCTTAATTATACCCAACTCGGGCATTGCAGCCCTCTCTTACCTACCAACATAAATTACCCTTTCATTCCCCTGTAGCGTTGGGTCCCATTATATGGTGTCTGCCTCAGGAGGGCTTCTTCACATGTATATACACTAGATCTCTGTCATGGAGCACTTTGACATTCTCTAATTCACCAGCTGTCTATCTTCATACTAGCTAAAGCTCTACAGTAGATGAGGATGAAATAGAAAAATAAAATGAAAAAAACCCGACAAAACCAACAATTTTTTTTGTTAGGTCTGTTCACTCTTCTGCAAGTGTGACTGAGGCTGTTAAGTCTCTTACTTCTGATTGCAGTGCCACAAATTTCAAAGCCACACCAAAGATACCTAAAAGGTAAAGGTTTTTTGGCTTGTTCCTAATAAATAATTTTGTTAAATACCAAGACACTATCTACATTAATATCAATCTAGATATTAATCAGTCATCATCAATCTAGATTTAATAGATCTTCAGGATCTGCCACTAAATTTGGGAGCAGGGATGTGAACCAGTCACACCTCCTGCCTTCATTGTGGGTGTTAACTTATATTCTTATGGAGGTACAGGATTTGATATCATAACTAAGCCAGTTTAGAAAAAAAAAACACACCACCATATTTAAAGTGCAAATTCTACTCCCACCCACCATTGTTTAAAGGTATAGTTTACATCTGAATCAGTTCTTTGCACATTGAACAGTTAAGGTTTTCAGTTATTACCATTCTCCATACGCTACAGAGTTGGGTTTTGGCAGAAGTAATCAGCTGAAGTGAGGGAGTGAAAAATTTAATAATTTTAATCAGTCATGGAACCAGTAAGTGGCTTAGTCTCACCTTGGCCTGCTGGAAATTTCAGAGGACTGTTTCCATGCAGAAGATACCCAAATCTTACATTTTTTGAAGTGGAGTAAGAACAACTGTATCATGAAAGAAGCTTAGGAATTTTGTATGGCATAAGGCATGCCCTGTACCTCTGAGAGTTAGCAGCTTTGGCATTTCTTGGTATCTCCCTCTGTAGGAGACAGATACAGCACAGCACACACCTTAAGCCCTAAGGCATGAAGTTTCCTCTTTCCCAAACTATAAGCATTCACTGTTGATACTAGAGAGTGGATATTCTTGGTAACAAGTAGTCTAAATGTCAGCTTGCTCGCTGGCCTGTAACATGGGCTTAGGCGGCTACTGCAGCATTTCAGGGTCATAAAATGTTACCTAGTGGTGCTAGGAAATGCTGCTGATGGTTGGGTTTCCTGTAGTCTTCTGGCAGGACTGGAAGAATTTAAACATGACTGCCTTTCTATTAGGTATGTTTGCTACTACTTACATTTGCTTCATGCTTGAAAATTTCCTGCAGAGCACAGGAAGTTAACATCAGAGTAATGCTTTTATTGTATTCTAGTGCTGGACTACAGACAGTCTCAAGAACTGTACCTACCAGTGGAAGAGTTCGAGGCATGTTATTAAGAAGTAAATCAGTACCCCCGGATAAAACGGTTCCGTTTCTAAACATTCCCCTGGCTGATGGACAGGTATCAAACATTTTTTATGTAAAAAACAAAAAAAAAAAAAAAAAAAAAAAAAAAAAACAAACCAAAAAAAAAAAAAAAAACCAACAAAAAACCCAAACATTTTCATCTTATGTAGTTGATAAACTGTGAATAGTCTGATAGTGACAGCACTTGCTATCCCTAAATGAGTTGCTGCTAAACAAAAGGAAAAATGGTTACTAAGTTTTCAGTGTAGCAGGGAAGCACAATTTTCAGAAAAGCTGGCCATGCAAGTAAAAATTTTCAGAATAGTTTTTATCTGAAAACTGTTTCTTTTCATGTTTAGACACTCTGTACAGCTGGTGGAGACCTCCGTAATATTGATGTGCAACTACTAAATCAAGATACAGTACAGCATATTCATAACTTAGTGGTAAGCTTAAACTAGTAGACTTTTATACAAATATTCAGACACCTAGTCTCAGGTTTTCATGTGAGATACTGTCACAAACGCAAATTCTGAGTACTCCCCAGAGGTCTCTTCCAACCCCGAACATTCTGTGACATTAAGCCTAAATCGGTTGGCATAAATTGGAGGGAAGGAGAGGGCAAGGGAGGAGCAGGGAGGGGGGTGGAACTTCTGCACACAGATAATATGTAAAAGTAAATGCACTTAAATTTGCCAAGGGGACAACAGAAGCATAAACTCTTCCTTCCAGATTGCACTGGTGTCTCTGCTACTATGTGAGCAAACTGCCATTCTCTATATCTCATTCACAAAGGCTTACAAAGCTACAGCAGACTACTGATTCGTGTTATAGTCTCTCTATTATTCCGTCTCCCTTGCTGAGTAAGAACTACTGTTAATTCTCTGCTGCAGTTGAATAGTAACTGCCTTACCTTTGCTTCAGGGAAGTAGATTGTTTTGAAGCAGAATGAAGTTGAACACAACTTTGTGCCTGACTCCTCTGAAGATGAGGGTAACTGGGCTTTTGGATGAAGTGATGTGCAGGACTAGAAATCTATCTAGACAGAAGAAATATTAATCACTTTACAGTCTTGCAAGTATTTAGGCTTGAATGCAGCTATATGAGTTAAGCTAAAGGTCTGGAAGCTGTTTTGTATTTTATAACATGGACCTGGCTCTGAAGGAAGAGAATGGGGGAGTGCTTGCTCACTGCTTGCATTAGCAATAGTGACTTTTCTCCTTCTTATTCCAAATTCTGTTGGGTAGCTTGAACTAAAATGAACTTTTTTCCCCTCCCTTAGAGTGAGCTGACTGTACTATGTGGAAAGGCAACAGCTAAGCCAAGTTAGTGGAACTGTCTTGTGACTACAGAATATTCATGACAGCTCTCTTGCTTGTTGCCTCTGAAGTGTTTAGAGAATGTCTAATGTCTTAATAAAGCTGTATACTGCCCAGTAAATTTTTTTATATAAAAGCTTACAATGTGATGTGTATTATTAAATTCCTGTTATCTCTGTGAAGAATACAGAAGCAGAAGAAATAATTCTACTTTTCCAACTTCCTTATAAAAGGCTTTGTTAACATCTAACTTCAGTTCATGGTAAAATGAACAGTAATAAGTTGTATGTAGGGAACAATTTTTAACTCTGATATTCTAAATAGGACTCTGGGTGTTTTATGTAACTATTCGTAAGTATAGAGCTCTTTTATGTCATTCTCCTATGCATACACCAAGCAGAATGTAGTGTTAGTTTACTACATGTTTAGTCTTCCTAGTATCAACCTTCTTGAATCTAAGTCTGGAATTAAGCTGAAGTGCAAGTTTCTAAATTCTTGAATAGTATTTTAAGGCATTTAACTATAATTCTGTGGTAGCATGTGAATCTGACATGGGAATAAAACTTACTTTCAGTCTTGTACTGTGACATGACAGTAATGTGCAAGATGACAGGTAGTAACCCAGACTTACTGTAATTTGTGGTGTCAACCCAGTTTTTCTAGTATGTACATACTTTTGAGTAACTTGAAGGAAAGGCTTTTAACAGCTATGCAGGGAAAGCTGCCAGTCCAGCAGTTTCTCTGCTGTAGATGTTCTACTATTTTCAGAACTTGAGGATGCCCTGGCTTTTACGCTGCCAGTGGTGATTTCAATTAAAGTGTTTTCACTGTGATAAAGGATTGTATGGAAGAGTCATACACTCTTTTAACTAAAACATTAGTTTAAGAATGAAATCTAGATTACTTTTCTGTTTCGCTGCAACCCTTGCTTCACTTAAGGAAATGGAGGTCACAAGTTTCAAATAAGGAAAAGAAGAAAGCTCTCCAGGGCATGGGAGAAAACTAGTAAAGAACATGAAGTTAAAAACTATCAAACTTAGGTTAAAACTATGCTCTCATGTGGTACCAGAAAATACAAGAATAAACATTCAGATTATACATGATGTTTACACAACATTAGTGAAGAGTTAGTTCTGTAACTCAGTAGTTTAACCTGAATTAGTATCCATTTCCCCTTAAAATGGATAAGATCATCATATCAATGCGGTAGCAGCTTTTAATTCTTGCAGGCAAATGGACATTTTAACATGAATTATTTAACTATTTACTCCCGTAATACCCTAAGGTAATGAAAAGTGCAATGTAGTACTGAAACATGCCGTTTGAATTTTTGGAAAATGTATAGTGTTAAGCATGCTTTGCAAGACCGGCTAACACACCTTTGATGTAGGTCTCACTTGAGGTTTAGGTATGGTGGTAGTCATATTACCAAGATAGCTGCTAGTGTTTAATCCAGCCTCCTCTTAAAAGTATTTTCTGAGCTTCAGTTTAGAGATCAGCTTTTGTGTGAATAAAAGGCTAAGTGTTTCTGGGCTGTGACACAAGGGGCAAATTCACAGGATGTACATTGTGATGAAGCACAAGGACTCTTCAAGCAACTGAAGTCATTCTTATGAATTGTCACTAAGCTACAACATCTCCAGAACTCCCTTTATATCTACACTGTTCCATTTAAATTTGGTAAAGGAGGCATTCAATTAAATGCCCCACACCTCCTTTACAGTGATTGTCTGAACTGCATACTTGCCTCAGCCTAAGGTGGAAGGTTATGGGTTAATAACTAAAATATAGTTCTCCTACTACAGCTGATTTAGAGGGCTGAGAAATTGCTACATACTAACAGATAAGTCTTTGACATGTTTCATGTTTTCAAACAGCAGTAATCTTTCTCCCACTGATTACTTCTAACTTATTTGCAAACCTATTTTTCAAAAGAATATAAGCCTTCTATGTGAACAAGAACCACACCATGGTCAGTGTCTTTATGAATAAATATTCACTGTGAACACCTTAGTAAATTAAACACACTCAAGGGGACAGGTAAGAATTTCTACAAGAGACAACTGTAGGTTAATTTTAGTCACTGTATATGCGGAAACAGACATGTCACAAAGTAAAATTAGACAAGACTTCCTTTTTTTCCTTATAATAATATTAAAGATAAAGTACCAACAAAAAATGGTTCTAATACAGTTCTAATGATCACATTTTCTTCTTCCCCCAACATCCAGAATACTCATTTGTTTATAGTACCACCTTCTAACTTAAGTACTTAATTTGCAGATGTTTATGACTGGGAACACTCAACTGTGTGTTTGATTATTCATATGAAGACAGTCACATTGGCCCAGTTAAAGCAGTAATAGTTATGTTAAGCATTAAACTTCATCAGTAAACTATTAATGCATTAGTAATTGTAGTAGAGTATTACTTGCAACTTAAATACTGAAATCAAGACAGTGTACATTGTGAATTTATGTAAGGTTTTTCTACGCTACCAACTTGGTAAAGGGATACCCTTTTAGTAGAGCAGGAGCTACATATAATAAGGGCAGCTCTGAAGAAGTCACCACTCATTGAGAGATGCTGCTGTCAAGAGCCTAAATTAATGCAATCTCAGGACTGAAACAGAACTAGACTAACTCACACTACAGACAGTGATGAACTTCCCCTCCACCCCTTCACTTCAGCATGCTACCAACAAGTTACTATGAATCCCTTCCTCTATCCCCCCCAAAGAAAGCAATTTGAAGGTAAGGAGAGAAAAAGTTTAGAGTACATACTCTCTTTTCCAGGGAGATAAATCCTAAAGCTACTACTTAAAAGCAGAAGACAGGCATTTTATTTAAGCATTACAGGCTAAGATGACTGACTTCTTGGAGAAATGAATCAGGATAAAGGATCAGTAACCACAGCTTCATGAAAAGCAACCTGAAGTTTTAATAAATGAAAACAAAAGATTCACTAGATGAGAATGCCACAGCATAAGAAGTCTGAAAATAAACTGAAATACAGGTCAAACAGTATTTATTCTTGCTTCACTTTTAAAGTCTTTAACAAGGATGTTTAGCAACACTCAAATGCTAGCACCTACCCAAGCACATGGAAACCCTTGGAGTTTGTCCCTCCAACCTCACTGGTAAAGCACCAAAAACTGAGCAATAAGTAAACAAGTCACACTTCAGATTTGTAAAGAGAAGTAGGGGCATCTTTTAACTGCCTCACTTCAACAGGGAGAGAAACCACACTGTAGAGAAGCAGCTTACCAACCAAAGTTCATGCACAGTTCCTTAACATTATAACAAAAGGCTTAGGTGACTAACTGTACCTGATAATTATTTAAGGTCATATTTTTGCTTTGTTACGGTATTTTTACCAATTAAAAGCATATAAAAAGGAAAAGAACTGAAGCTGGAGAACTTAATGTCTTAACAGTTAAAACAAAGGGCAAACTACTGGAAAAGTAATGGCCATTTACATTTAGTGTGATTCCAGGTCAAAATCTTTGTCAATTACAATACTAATCTCAAACTCTTTACAAACAGTGTTAATGCAACCACAAATTGCCAGGCATGATGTTCATTTTTACAAAGATTTTTTAGAACTGGAGACATTTCTCTAGGAAGTCAGGCTGAATCAGGCTTTGAATTGGATTCAAAGGCTAAGAGAAAGACGCCATTATTTTGAGACTTAATCATCTTTAAAAGGTTTTGTTATCTTCCGATTGAACTCAGATATCCTTGTGTTTCATTTGTACAAAGGGGACATGGCTGCAGCCTTCCCCATGCCCACTTAGCCATATCTCCTTTCAAGAAAAGACTTTTATATGTGGCACACAATTGTTACCTAACTGCAACCTAGTTTTAAAGCAGCCTCAGCCTCCCTGTGTTTATGAAATGTCTACCATCTACATAGTCTCTTCAAACGCAGAATACTTAAAGCCACTGGAAAAGTAAGAGTTACAAGGCAAAAGAAATATATTATACACCAACTGCTTTTATTTAATTTCAGAAACCGTTCACAAGATGGTAGAAAAAACTTACAACCACTTCTAATTTAGTCTTCCATTGTTCCCAGTCAGCTCTAAACCCATTATGTGCAAAGCCCATTTACCATGCATCTAGATGATAGATACAGGCTATGAAATTCTTTATTCTACTTGTAGCAGCTTATGCAGGTGCAGCCAAATACCAAGCCTCAGGACAAATTGTACACAAACTTTACAATGTAGAATTTGAATTTAAAATATGAAACTTAAAATCTACACAGAACTGGTAAAAATCAAGCACAGATACGAGGACAAACTTAAAACCCATGTGAAAAGGAGTCTCGTCTTCCTTTCAAGTGCTTTATTCTGCTACACAGTCAAAATGAAGATGTAAGCTTGTGGTTAGTTTAAATTACACTCTGTAGATACTATAGACCAATTTAAAAGTTACACATACAGCAATAGATGTCCATTGGTTCATCTGGATTACTTATACAATCCAGCTGGACTGTTGAAAACAAGTCAGGCAAAATTTGAAAGAAAATCCTTGTGCAACTTTTTAGACAAACGTTTACTGATGGGCACACTGTACCCCAGGTCCATGATGGCTGCTTTCTTCATCAGAACTATCGTTATAGGCTTCACGTCTCTGGCCACCACCTGAACCACGAGTGGTATCAAATTCCTGAAGATCTACCTCTTCTGCATCACCAATTACATTGGGAAATTCTGGTCTAGCTGGCAGAAGATCTTCAAGTTCCTGCCCCAAAAAAAGAAGTGTATTCAGTACTGCATCTACAACTGCTAAATAAAGTGACCAGTTTCCCACAGCTTTAAGGTTCCCTCTCAGAGCAGGTTTGGTTTAGAAGTCTAAGCTGATGTAAACCCTGAAGTGCATACTCATTTAAAAGTATCCAAAGTATTTGTATCAACTGGAAAACACCATGTAAAGAAACGAACAGCTCCACATATCACCCACCAGAAGTGCAATCAGTAAATACAGTTGCACTCTGAAAACTTATCACACGGCAGCAGGAAGATTCTTCCTCCTGCCCCCTCATGTGCCCAACATCTGCACAGCTCAAATACAGGTTCCATAAATCCATATTCCAACGGGTATTTTCAAGTTACATGTTGCCCATGAACAAAAGAACAACTGTACTTGCATCTAAATACAAACACTGACAGCAAGCACGTGAGGTACACCACACACACTTTGCATACACTGTCAAATAAGACCACCACATTCACGCTTGAAAAACTACTTACTGAAAGCTTTTCTGGGCTGATCCAGTTATTTTCAGGAAACTGAACGTCAAATTTAATGTAAAGATCCCCTTTCTCAAAAGGATTGCGATACTGTGGCATTCCTTCACCTCTGACTACGCGAACACAACCTGTAATTCAAAGAGAAGCAAGCTGGAGAGTGCTGCTTCAGAAAAAAAATCCTTCTCTGTACAATTCTCTTGATTTCTCTAGCCTAGATTCAGTTAACAGGACAACAAGAATGGGATTAAGTGTTCAAGAATCACAAAAGCATAGTCAAAGAAGTCCTTATCAGGTCAGGCTTACCTGGTTCAATTACTTTTCCAGGAGGATATTTAACCACAATTTGACGTCCATCAAGGTGCTTAAATGTGAACTGAAATCCACACAGTGCTTCAACAAGTCCAATCTTATGTGTCATATGCAAGTCGTTCCCATCCCGCTGGAACACCTGAAAAACAAAGACAGGAGATATCTTTTCTAGTCTATAATCATATCTCCACAAGACTCATTATTTAGAATTCATTATTATTTATTCTTAAAATTCAATGTCAAAGCAACAGCCTTTGCACACAGTTAACTTGATTCTGTTAATTCAAATAGCTTAACATGCTTGGAAAGTTTGTGCTCGATGAAAGTGTCATCTAAGATAAGGCTAACCAAATTTGTAAGGTTCAAATTAACCAAGAAGGAATGTGTAACAGCAGTGTTCTCTTACCCCCAAGATCTTCTGCACAAGCAACCTATAAACAGAACTTGTGACTGTTGAACACTATTTCCCCTGCACTGGAGTACAAAAACCACATCTTTGTTTCTCAGCATTTAACTAGTCATCATGCAGATCTGCTTCATCTAACTGTACCTACTGCAGAGCTTTGATCAATTAGTCCACAGCTGTCATAAATGATCTTTAAGCCATATCACTCAGGATTCTTAATCAGAGTAAATGTAAGCTTTATCCATTGGCAGAACCATGACTCCCACCTCAAGGGAAATTTGAAGAACCTTAAAAGCTTCACTAGAAGTCAGTCTAGTTTCACTCACTAAGACAGAAGGTACAGTATTCTTCAGAACTGTTAATACTGTAAAACTAGGCGTAGTTCATTAGAAGACTAAAGACAGAAGAAGTGGCATCCACCATCTGGAATTTGATGCTGTCAGGCACATCTGACTGTTCTCCATGCTTACAGACTGTTCTCCCTTATCATAGTCAAAATCAACTGTGATGCCATGTTTCAATCAGAATTACAGCAGAAAAGAGAACATGTGAAGAACTATGCAAGACTGATCAGACAGATTCACAGTCCTTGACACAGCTTTGAAAAGCTCACTAAGTACCTAATTTTCAGATAACCAACATTACATCCTTAATATGTGACTGGAATTGAAACCTGTACCCAACGCTACTCTTTGTGTCACAACAGAACTTCCCCCTCCCATCACCATTCCATTCAACATTTTTTTCCAGAGTATAACACACAAACTATTTCTTATTTCACCATAGTACTGGCCTTTCTAAACAAAAGCATTCAAAAAAAGAAACAGCCACCTCAACTCTGCCCTAAGGGAGTTTTAACACAGAAAAAGATAAACTGCAATATTTAATTCAAAAGTGCAACGTATATACTCCAGAACAAAGTAAGCATAAGCCTTAACTAACTAGTATAAAATAATAGTGTGTGTTTGTTTTGTTACATGAACCAGCAACGTCAGCATTCTGTGTTACATTTCCACAACCACAGTAGTAGAGATGGAAAGCACCGTCTGGGGATTTTAACAGGAGTTCCCTGCCATGTCACCAGACACAGAAAAAAGGAACAACTAGCATTCTGTTAGCATCACAAGCAAAGCAGAGTGAAGTTAACATCCTGAATGGCTCTTCACTGTGTCCACTGTATCAAAATCAGCCTGAGCCTACCCGAGACAGCTACCTTTTATTAGCATTAGGAAGCACCAGAATCTGCATGTCCTCTGGCTACAGACTTGCAAAGTTTTTTTCTGGCTCACCATGAACACCACGTTATTTGCTATAAATCTAAAAAAAGCTATTCACCATCTCTCCTAGAGCTGCAACTATATAAATTACTTTAAAATGAACAGCCATCTCTATCACCTAAATATTGAAGACTACGATATAAGGCATTTAAAATATAAACTCAGAAACATTACCTCATTCTCCTTTTCTTGGAGTAAGAGGACAATATCACCTGGTTCCACACCCGGAGCCTGATCTGCTTCTCCACTGAATGTAATTCTCTGCCCATGTTTCATGCCTTTGTCTACATGGACTTCAAGTATTTTTACCTCTTTGATCACCTTCTTCCCTTCACATTTTTTACAGCGGTCTTTTTCATTAATTACTTCACCTAAAGAAGAACAAATTTTGAGTTCAGATATTTCCTCGTAATTGCATCCAATTCTAAAGAAAAGCTATTTTAAAGTAGGCTGAATAACACATGCAACACAATTAGTGATTTAGATGCTGCTTTATGAATTCCTCACAAGAGGAAAGCCAGGCCCAATTTACCCTAGCTGGAAGAGGGGGAAATACAAAGATACATATAACTTTCCAAGCTGTCTTATCAAGGATTTTGAAAAGTGAGAGCACTTTAGAGAAAGGCAAAACAAGACTTTGTCTACAGCTTCTAGCATTCCTTAAGTCTTAATCTGACTCCAGTACCCTTATGACTCAGCTTACTACTCTGAAAAAAAGCCTACTTTTCTATTTCTTGTTGTGCTGGAATATGACAGCTACAAGAGAAAGGATGAAGCTAAAACCAAACTGAAACATCTCCCCTCCCTTAAAAGTCAGAAAACAAATTTCAAACTATTTCAATTAATTGGGAAGCTTTGTTCCACTTCAGTTAACAACAGTGAAAAAAGGATTACTGGGTTCTGTTCATTGGCAGCCACATTTTGCAGTATACCACCACCACAAAGTACAATGTAAATGCAGCCAGTAGAACTAGAATCCTGCATACAAAATGGGAGTAAGATAGCTGGTCAAATCACAGTTTCATGCAAGAGCAGTATGTAGGCTTTCCCACAGAAAGGATGCAGCATTTTCTGACACGTAAGGGATTTCACTTTTATACTGTGAAACTGAATAGTGTTTTACATTGTCCGTCACCTCTAGCAAGACAATTACTTTTTCCAGCAAACTGTATGATGACTATCCAAACCAGATTAAATTCTCTGTTGTACTTCATCTTTATTTTTCAAGTAATCTAGTCTTTGTACAGAGCAACCAAAATACTAGTCACATGCACTGTACAATTTCAGTACTTATTTCCAACACTGCTGTAAGTGCCACAAGCAGATGCACTTGGCTTAAGACATCAAACTTCCCAGCTTAAGCCACCTTTCCTGTGAAATAAAGCATAACATTATGATGCAGCTGAAACTACTGAACCTGCAGGTTACGTATGTAAACTGTGACAAAAAGATGTTCAGAGACAACATCATTTATGGAATGTTTTGACTAGTCACAAAATACAACTCTTTATAACTTCCAAGTATTGTGAATAGCAAAATCATCCACTAGGTGACGTCACTACTCTGCAAACTGCAGATCTAAAAAGGAATCACATGAAGTGCAGATCATGTGGTGAACTTGTTCCCCCAAACACAACCAATTCAGCAAAAGGTATCTTCTTAATTTGAAGAAGTTAAAATGCAACTTCAGATTTCCATTTTTAAGCTAAACCTGTCCTTGTACATCAGGACACCGAAAAAAGACAAAAAGCTCCTAAAACAACAAAATCTTGGTGTTTACTTTAACACAAGAGTAATAGCAGTAAGTAATATTCACATCTAAGTGGTTTTAAAACCCAATCAATCCCTACTATTCAAGGTTCCCGGCTGCTTTTCAGTACATTAAACACTGTAAATCTTGCTGTTGTTGCGAGTAAAATGATTTCTCCATGTTTACATCAGACTGAGACCCAACTGACTAGATGGGAGCAAAGCTGCCCTAGGTTAAGTTCCTCCTGAGATTTAATCAGGAGGTTGAATCCAGCTAAACGCACTTAGTAACACAGAATCACTTGGCCTACCTTCTCCATTGCAGTCAGAGCATACAGACTGCATCGGCTGAACCATTCCAGGAGCCAGCTGTCTGATCATGATACGTACGCCTCTACCCCGGCAAGCATTACATTTCTGCACGGCTCCAGCCTTCCCTCCCTGCCTAGAAGAGAAAGAACCAGTTGCATGAAAAGCAAGTTTTTCAGAAACATACAACAACAAAAAAACCCCCCTACATCAGTAAGTTAATGTGCCTAATTGCACTACCAATTATAATTAGGTTCTCTCCTCCCCTCTTCCCCCCAAAGCCCTTGAATAGTTCCAGTTCCATCAACAGCATCATTCAAGTTCAACAATTTTCTAGTCTGAGAGCAGGCTCCCGTAAGTCAAATACTAATAAATACCTGACACAGATGTTTCATTACACTATATGCCAACAAAGCAACCAAAGAACTAAAAAAAAAATATAAACAAACTTACCCATTACATGCACTACAAAGGACATTCTTGCTAAGTTGTAGTTTAGTTGTCTTGCCATTATACAGATCTTCTAAAGAGACTCTAGAAAATAAAGCATTTCTCCTGGGTTATCATTTAACAACTTACCTTCCCCATGTAATTAAAATACTTGCCTAGGATAAACTACAAAAAACACATCTTCATAAAAAGACTGAATCTGCTATTAAAATAAGATTTTAAAGCACCTTGTTAGTTTTCACAAGGAGTCACTAAAAACTATTCCATACATACGCATACAGACACGTAATCCTGAGCATAGTTTCAGAGAAAAGCTGTAATTTAATCAGAAGAAACCAGATAGGATTGCTTGTGTTTCTCAATAGGAAACAAGCTGATCTAACAATTTAGGTTTTATTACAAAGTCATAGTTTTGGTTTAGTTTTTTTTTCAGTTCTACCAGGCAGGTGAGAAACAAACCTCTCTAGGCAGCCCTGACAATATTTATAGTATGCATACATAAGAACACGTACAGAATTACTTACTATTGTATTGTGCCTTCCATACAAGATAGTTTAGAGGGAAGGGCTTAGCATGTCCCTAAGGCCACTTAATTATTTAGATTTGTTCATGTTTCAATTTTTTTAGAAGCTCTTGAATACACTACCAACCTCCAATAACCTTCATGTATTGACAGAACTTCACGAATACTTTTACCGTTTCTCCATGGATAGAAATTTCAACTCAGTGTACTGAAAAAAGGTTGCCTGGCATCAGTGTTTACACATAACAACAAAACCAATGCTAATTAATAACAAAGTGTGCAGTACTAGCTACTAAACTAAGCAAATGTAAAAGTAAACAGGCTTTACTAAGCAAGGTTTGCCAAACAAAGGAAAGATGCAGCTTAACTTAAGAACTTAGAAAGGACCTGCTCAGCAGGCAAAAAGCCCATCATGATTGCAAGCTAAGATCTACAAAACACAACTAGATGTAATATTCAAGCATGACTTTAAAAAAAAACAAAACCCACACACACAACAAAACCCACCACACACACTCTTCCATTAATTATGCAGTTTAACTTTAGTTCCAGCAGGTATTAGGCTATGAATGCAAGTCATCTCAAGTCCTTCCAGAGCCTTAGAAACTCTGCTTCCCTAAAAATCCAGCTACTGAGTAATACTTGGTTGTTGAATGCTTTTTCAGATTAGAACTTCCAAACATAATTACAGGAGCAAAACCAAGGAAAATAATGCTAACAAAGTCCATACAGGCTAATAACTAGGCAAAGCAAAGCATTAGGTAGTCTGTAAGATTAACCAATCGTGAAAACTGACTTGAGATGACTGCGTTTTTGGCTACACACAACATACACATCTCAAAAGTAGGTGCAGACTGCAAAATATCTCAGCTGAGAAGCATATCAAGAATATTAAGTAGCAGAGTCAAGTACTGATCAGGAAAGCTTGAAAGTACAAATTGCAGTATCAAGATACTCACTTGAGTGGATGCATCATATCTTCTCCTCTTCTTCTACCATTACGACTTCTACTCTGACCACCCATGAAATTGAACAATCCACCACCAAAGATATGGGAGAAAATATCGTCCATTCCACTGCCTCCGCCACTACCTTCTCGAAGACCCTGTTCTCCATATCTATCATATAACTCACGTTTCTCTGGATTTGACAATACTTCATAGGCAAAGCTTATTTCTTTGAACTAGAAGAGGAACAGAGTCAAAACAGTGCATGGTAATTCAGAACTTCAAGGGAGCATTTTACTACCATTTCTTGCCCAGCATAAACACCCAATTAAGAAGGTACACAATAGAACACTTTTCCACCCTCATTCTAATATGCAAGACTTAAAAGTCAGACTTAGGCTTTGTTGTGTTACCTCTTATCATAAAATATGACATTTTATTGCAAAACTTTGTTGACTTTGTTCTTTACTGTGCCTGACATAAGACAGTTTTCTTTCAAACAACAACAAAAAATCCAACCAAAGAAGAAAACCCCCAAGTATGCAATACTGCAGTAGCAAACATGCAAAAAAATCCAGTTACGTACTAATGGCAAAGACTTCAAGATATGTTAGGCACTTAAAAATATGCTAACAATTGAGCAACTTACTAAAAAGCATATGAATGTGTTTGTCCTCAAAACAAATTAACATCTTGTCATAGTCATTTCTGCTCACCTCTAAGCAACCATTAGAATTTCAGTTCTGTTACAGAGAATCAGCTGAGTCAACTTAATTGACTTATTTAATTGCTATTAGCATAACAAGTCTAATTCAACCTTCCCACATACGTAATTTGTTTTATGCTGCAGCAGTTTCAAGAACCTCCACACATACATTTTACCACGTTGGAAAAACTTGGAAAACGGACTATCTTTTTCAAATACCAATGTAGATGCCAATGCCAGCTGACATCATCTCAGCAGAAGAAGAGAGGCAGTTCTTCCCCCAGCATGACCTTCTCAACCCATTTGACTCAGCCAACTGCTGCATTTTTTCACAAGGTACACTGGTAGATCTTGAGATTGGGAAGAAGTACGCAAAACAGGGTTCCCTCCCCCAGTTATTATTTTTGAACAACTTGTAACAGCAATCCCTCAACACCTGTATTTGGTCCCCTAGATGCTACTGTGACAGCAAACTTCAGGATTTAAAAAAAAAGTCTTACTTTGTCTCCCGCATTTGGGTTCTTATCAGGATGGTATTCCTTAGCCAGCTTTCTGTATGCCTAGTTGAAAGAGGTACAAAATTAGTTTAAATTTTCATTAATGAGTTCTTTCCCCAGAAACTCAAGTAGTGTCTTTTATTCTTAAGGAAGAAAGAAAATCCTAATAACGCAAAGTGAAAAAACAAGTGTTTTGAAATCACTCATACATTGGAATGATACATCAAAAATTCTGACATTACTATATGCATAAATTAACTACACTTGGATTTAAACACAACTATAGCACGCAACAGCTAGAGCTGATTTTCCTGCTTATCTTCATTAATTCACAGGAAGAATCACACTGGACTTTCCTTAGAATGACTTGCTCTACAGAACCCACTCAAAACCTACAATATGACAGTTTAAGTCTCAATCCATTTGTCTTTCACCTCAATCACAGCAACACATTAACAACAAAATGGCTGCCTCAGCTTCTCATTCAACCTTATCAGTCAATCCTCACAATAATAATTTTATTCTTCCTTACCTATCAGTAATGGCAGATTTCATCTCACTTTGATCTAAGTACACAAGTTACACATGCAGAAATGTACAGATCACTGCTTTTATTTAACTTCATTGTTCTTGGAGGAATATGTACAGCCAGATCTCCAGAAGAGATTTTTTAGAATGTGGGGGTTTTTTGACCAGTACGTTGACTCTCAGGACCATCACTTTTTCTACAGCAGTACTTAATCTGTTTTGCTTATAGTCTGGAGGACCAGAGCAAATAACAGGACAGGCAGAGATGTTTCCTACAATTTGAGTTTTTGACAGTAAAGATCTCAGCTCTTCCCCACTCCACCTCAACACCCTCCAGTGACAATCAGGGGACAGATATTAATAAATTACATGGTATACAGTCTTTTATTTTTTTAATTATACATATAAAAAAATCTACAGGGATGCAATGGCAAACAACTGAAACATTGATGCTTAGAACTGATTTTTCAAAAGCTCTATTTCTGTAGAACTGAGCATCTAAACTAGCTCTTTAGAACTACAACATTAAGAGAGTTTTACACACAAAGCTTTACAGAGGTCACAACTTTCCATTTTGTACTGGAACAACTATGATTCCTTTTTTGTGTCTGCACAGTTATTTCTCTTTACTGATTATCTTTAAATACTTTGTACTTCTGCATGCAATCAAGAAATAAAGTTTAATAAAGAACTAATGAAACAAAAATAGAACACTTATTACAAGCCAAATATTCTAAACCACAGTAAGCATAACAAACACAAATCATAGGACTTACAGGACAAATTACCCATCAGTAACAATGCAGAATCTTCCACAAACCTACATATTCTGTACTAATAATAGGTTTTCCCCAAATATTTTAAGGAGTCTAACCAAGGAGAGAGAAAAACCCAACTAAACAGAACACTAAACTGGAAACCTACATAGCATTATCTAATCAGGGGAAAAAAGGAGCTTGCATGGTGATCTCTAAAAAGAGAGAGCACTCATGTCTTTACTGATAACAGCATTCCAGTTTAGAGCAATTCTTAAGACTACCCATGGCCCAAAAGGAAGCTACCACTACTTGTTTAATCAGCCACAGATCCAGAATCAACGCTACACTGGCACTGTATTATAACTTCAGTAAAACTTAATTTAACTCATCACTGCTAAAGCCTGCTCTGTCATCCTCTTCTGACTAAGCTATTACCTATTTGTTTTCACTGACCTGTATTGGTGTATAGGTTAAAATATCAAAGGAATAAAGCAACCATGTGACCTTTCAGTGACAATAAGATATAGGTGAGCTCCTTGCTGTTGCAGGCAGTTGGAAACTTCACATTCCATGATAGGTCTAATCTATAGCAATTCGTATCGAGCAGCACAGGTTATCCAAGTGGAAAACTGCTGTCAGTTTTTCATTCTTGCAGGACGCAGATACTTTTAAGAGAATTCAGTAAGAAAAAAAAATTCTACTTGATTGCGTTTGGTATACAGCACATCTTCTCACCGCATGCCTTCCACTTCTAACAGTATTTCAACACCGCAGCCGCCTATCTCTGCGCAAACTGGGCTGCTGCACGCATGCTGGGTAACGCACGGCTGTTCATACCAGCACCACCCACCAGCGGAAGCAGGTCACTGCTAGTAAACCGGCTAGTTAATTACCCTCCCTCACGTGTAAATGGCTATCAAGCCCTTCCAGAAAAAAAAGTGGTTTATACGCTACGGAATGAACCGGGCGCAGCGAATCGTTCCACCGCTTACCTGGCTCCCAGCCTTGGCCTCGCTTCTTTGTTTACCTCACCTCGTCGCCTCCGGCCGGGGGGCCTCGCGCAGCCCGGCAGAGAGGAGCC